CTGGCTTCTGTAAATTAGCCCTGGTGTAAATGGGTGTATATTTTTGGTCTAAGTGAGCCCTGCAGCGGACTGGTGTCCAATCCAGAGGGTTGCTTGCCGGGGAAAAGACTCCAGCTCCCTCCTTGACCCTGTACTGGGCAAAGCGGTTTAGAAAATGGATGAATGTCATCAAACCACACTAATGAATTATAAGCATTGGAAGCAGAAAATAACTCCATTTCCACTTTATGACGATGAAGAAAAGTTCGAGGTGCCGCACTTCAAAAACAAACACTCCTCACAACAGAAGTGACCATATAAAGTAGCATCCGAGAGAAAATGTCTCTCATAACCATGGTCACTGCCTTTAAATACATCAGTTATAAGATACGACGCGTCAGCTCAGAGCTCTGAACCGCTGGCACATACAGTAACACTCCTGCAAACATTTCAGCCTTGTGGCTGATCGCAGCTTGTGTATAAAACAAGAGAGAAACAGCACGAGTGGCTTCTGTCGTGTGCTGTGAAAAAGGAACAAACCCAACAGAGCACATACAAGTCAAGACCGCGCTGAAAAATAGAAACGTCAAACATGTCAGCCATCCAGCCTTCGTCACTCGGACATCGTTCGTTTCTACTTGTTCCTCTGCTGCCCGCGCAAAAGAGCCCAACTTCTGGACCCGTTCAGAAAACGTGCACACAAAAACAGGCGGTCATTTTCTCCGATGCGCAATGAAGTACGATGAAGACACCTGCATCTCAGAAAAGTGGATACAGAACAGTTACTTGGGGAAAACAAAAAGAAGACTCAAGACTGCAGATTATCGGAACCACACCCTATGTCCGAGGTCATTGTTTAGCTCAAGTAACTCAATATGTGCACGTTTCTTAGATATTCTGAAGTCTCCCATTCATCACAAGAAATAAGTGTTACAATGGGAGAACCTGACTCAGGATACTGTATCAGTAGTTGACCTGGTGAAGATACTGTAATGAGGATTGCTCACCTAGTCACTGATCTGGCGTTCACCTGGCTCCGCCTTCTTGCGCTTGCTGCAGATCACTCTTAACTCTTTCACGGCCGCCACCTCACTGAAACCACCCCTCCAACCCTCCAACTGTCGCTTCTAAGGACATCCCCACTTTTTATCAGCTTTGTAATGCACAGATGTGTATCCCGGAAATGTTTGACACGGTCCAAATTCCACTGCATGTGGAATCAGCCCTGAGATAAAGAGGTGTCGTTCCCTTTATAATAACACTCGGAGGAGCTGGGTGGACAGCTCCATCAACTGGAATCCCTGGTTGATACCGATGCCCGTGTTAAAATCAGGAGATGAGCTTCACCCTGCAACTTTCCTCTGCAGT